AGGCACCTCACCTCGCCGCGCTTCAGCCCTACGACTCTAGCATATGATTGTTTTTGTTTCGTTTTTGAATTTTTTTTTTTTGTTACATTTTTTTGGATTCGCTTGAAATTTCTTAGCAAAATTTGATCCTCTCAAGTAGTCTGAAAGAGTTCTTCAGAAGGTTTTTGTTCGGTTTCCGAGCATTCATTAACGCTCGCGTACACTGTAACATTACATGTGCTTGACGCGCGTGAAAATCATGATCCCAAGCAATGCACGCGCCCAACACGCAAACTGCACGTCAATACACGCTCCTGCGTGTAATAAAAAAAAAAAAATGCTCGTATGTGAGCGTAAAATGCTTATGAATTACACGAAATCTCATTAGATGCGAGTACTGAGACAAATGTGAATGTTAGCAGACAAAGAGATTGGATTCGTAATTCTTCGCAAAAAGATTTCCCGACGACAAGCTAGCCATTGTACTTTGTTTGGTGTCTTATGAATTGAAAATGCGTGTGTCAAGAATTAAAATATTAACTTGCACCGCTTACGCTCTTCTTTAAATAGTTTTTTTTGTCAATAAACATGAAGTAACTCGAAATTTGAATAATCGTATGTTGAATTTAGTTTTGGAAGTCAAAACACTCAAATTGTGAAGCGCTCCGCCGACTCCTACATTAAACGGCAACCCAATAATAATTTCTTGGAAGAAAAAAGAATTTTGATAAGCTTCTGGAATTCGTTATGTGGCAAATTTTTCCTTGATGTTTGTTTATATATAATTACTAAATCTCAACAAAGTCAATGGTCTTTAGAGTGTCTCCCGCAATGTAGATCGATCTGGCAGCTCTATTCCCGTTCCGTTGTGCATTTAATTACAATAGTTGGTCGTTTTGAAACGATGGTAACTAGATAATAAATAAATAAATAAATAATAATAATAATAATATTTATTACAAGAAGCTCTCTCACCTACCAGTGATATACAGGGAGGTCCTGTTCTAAATATATCATTAGCCACATAATTAATTGTTGGACCAATAGAGCAACTCAATTCTTAAGTTTTCAGACATGCTTCGTTCAAATTGTTTCGTACCAACTTCTCGCTCATTGCATTCAATCGATGTAAATCAAGCGAACAATTAATTTTCATCGGTTATCATGCCGAAGAATTTTCGATGCAGTGAAGCTCGATCAATCTTAGAGGTTTAATTTGAATCTTCACATAAGTTTAAATTTCAGGCAACCTGAGCAGCAGACAAGACAAATATTGATCGAAAGTAGCTTTTTATTTGAGTTAGTAACGATTGTTTGTCAAAAAATTCGGCCTCTTGTCTTTTCCACGAGGGCATTGTTGATATTTACCTCTAACTGCGTGACAAGGAATGGCGTGGTTTGACCTTGTGCCACTTTTGTCTGGCTCCCTAAAATTTCGCAGCTCAAGCAGCCAAAAAATTTTATTGCAGTTATTTGAAGAAGAAATTCTGTTCT